TAGTGGTCAGTTACCCAATTCTTTTAAAAGGCTTTATATCAATAATTGCAAGCAATTGGAGTCTCCGCCTCAAAGGATGCTACAGTATTGTACGGAACTTAAAGGGATAAGTATTTATGGGGGTGATATGAAAAGTTTTTGTTTTGAGAACATGCATGGGCCCACTTTTTTATCGATAGGCAATTGTGATGGTTTGGAGTCGTTTTCCTTGTCCATCTCCAATCTTAAAGAGTTACACATATCGCATTGCAAGAATCTCAAGTCTGTGCCTAACAAGATGCATGACCTCACGTCTCTCAATGGATTCTATATAAGCAATTGTCCAGGGATCAAGTGCATTTCAGACAGTGGGTTGCCTCCAAACTTAACATGGCTTGGAATTTATGGGTGTGTAGGGATCGAGTCCATTCTAGGCAGTGGTTTGTTTCCAAACCTAACAGATCTTGAAATTGTCGACTGTCCAGGGATTGAGTCCATTCCAGATCGTGGTTTTCCCCCAAACCTTAGAAGTCTTATAATTGATTGCAAGAATCTGAAGAAGCCGATGCAGGAATGGGGCCTTAGCAACCTCACCTCTCTTTTATCCTTGAAGGTTTATTGGATATGTCCTGATCCTGATGTGCTTCCTACTTCTCTAACCAGTCTTGTGGTAGGTACGGTTGAGAATATGAAATCCATAACTAGAGGGCTCCTTCAAAACCTCAACTCTCTTCAAGATTTAACAATCGAGGCTTGCCCAAAGCTGCAGTCGTTGCCAAAGGAAGGCCTGCCTCCCTTGCTTGAACGACTCTGGATTATAAACTGCCCGTTGCTAAAACAACGATGCTTGGAGGAGAAAGGAGACTATTGGCCCCTCATAGCTCGCATCCCCTACATTGTAGTTCAAGTACTACTTAACTATTCTCAAATTTTCAAATATATTTTTGTCTTTTGAGAATTAATTTAGGAATATATTTTCCCTTACTATATCTTGGAACTTAATCTTTTCAAACTTAATGTTATTCTTTCATTTTAGGATTATAAAAGCCACACAAGTTCAGAGACAAAACAAAAACTTTGTTTATGGTATTGCTTACAAAAATACTCCCTCATAATCATTCACAGTTTTTATTTTTCTGTAATTGAATTTTTTTTTCACCCTCTTGTTAGAAACTTGGAAAATGGCTTATCTAATTAATCTCTTCTTTTGTTTTAGCTTCAAAACAGGGTGACAATCAAATGACTTTAAATCTAAATAAAAGGTAACGTTGGTTTTAGTGTTGTCTTTTCTTTTTTATATTTTTGTCAATGCCATAAGTTCCTCATATGTTTTGGTTCAGGATATGGATATTAAATCATAGAGAAATGGCCAATAAATATTCATAGCTGAAAGGTTATGTACTAATCAAGAAAACTACCAAGGATTATTCTTTCTTCTGCAGCCTAAAGCACAAGACGCAAAAGATCTTTGTATTTCTGAAACTTAACATTTATGCCAATTGAAAAGATGTTGGTTTTCTGGAGATTGGAAAGTTTCCATCCTTGTATTCTGTGAAGACTCGTTGACTGCTCAATATGTAAATAGCTGCTTAGTATCAGAGTCAACAACATGTCAACCCTTTCAGTTCATCTTTTGCTGTAAGTTTTAATTCCTCTGAGGACCATTTCATTGGATTCAATATTAATGTTTTAGTTATGTACCTCATTTTGTTATTATTGTTGCAATTAGAAAAAAAAAAAAATCTGAAATTGCCATTTTTTGGGTAGATGCTAGCACCAATACTTGATTGGAATAAAGTATTCATTGATAGTTTCACTGAACAGGCTGTGTGGTAATCAAACTCCTTGGACTAGTTCTAACTCACTCAAGAATTCTTCTGATTAATACATTTTCTTGATCTTCCCTATCCATTTTTCTATTGAGATTATCTGGATAGTCATGCTATTTAATTGCCCTACAGCCGGTTATGTGTGCTGAGATTTGAGTAAAGAGTTGGTTCTACGGCTTAAACCTATCTTATTTGATGAACTGCATTATTTCAGATCTAATGATGGATCACTTGAATGGTATTGCTAACATTTCCCTTTTGCCAATGCCTCAGTTTCCTTCAAACAATTATTATACTCTTGTCCTAGACCCATGATGCTAGTTTTAATCTTGGTTTGTGCACTTCTGGGCCTTTTGGCACTAGAAAATTTAATTTACCTTTTAGTTATTGGTTAAATGAAAATAGTTATGTGCTCCGTGCAGCACCCAGATCATCATTTCAAGAGAAGCATCATAAGGCAAAATAGAATCCCAACAAAAGAAAATCTACAGAAAAGAGGAGTGCTGGGCAATGAAGAAGACCAATCATGTGTTTTATGTGGGAAAGAGGCTGGAAGCATAGACCATCTTTTGTTTTTGTGTCCAATAGCAAGAAAGGTGTGGTCATTATGTTATCAGTGGTGGGGTATTAATGTGGCACCCCAAGAAAAGGGCTGGAACCACCTGATCTAGCATGCAGGACTTTTCAACAATAAATTTGCAAAGGATGCTTAGAAGGTGATTTGGTTTGCAGTTGTATGGAATATGTGGCTATGGAGAAATCAGAGGATCTTTAAGGCAAAATTGGAACCTCAGTACAAGATGATGAAGGTGATTATATTCCAAACCTTCCAATGGATTAAAGCTAAACAGTGGCCAGAAATCTCAAAGGAGCTATGGTGTATATGTCATGCTCACGCTTGCAAAACGACATCAAAGAGGATGCCTTAGTTGCCCAGCAAAGATCACACGGGGATGAAAACAATTGTAGGATAAGGAAGGTCATGCCATCACTATTTGGATGATCTATATTTTGGGGTAAACTTTCGTATGAATGTGTTGATAGTATCATCTTACCCTTATAATCTACTCTTTTTGTACG